GTTACCACTCCAATAGTGCATATTCTGCTTGTTGACATATCCGGACACTAAAGAAAACAAGTGCGTCAGGGGGTAAAGTTTCCAGTAATGTTTCGCAAGCCGTTATTTGGTTCTGGAAATCATGTGACAATTCTTGCACAACTACCATCTTATAAGGATGGGAATGAAGATGTTCGTGAAGAATTAGGCACATTGAATGATTGGATATGTCTAGGGCGACTGCATGTTTGTGAGCGGAGTGTCTTGGAGATCTCAAAATCGACTGTCGAACTGCCTCCACATTTTCTGGTGTCATAATGGTCCATTGTCATCCTGATGATTTTTTCACCACACACCCAGTTGTCCTAAAGTTCTCTACCCACAAAACAATCGATTTCCGGTTGGCAACCAGACCTCTGGGCTTAATTCCAAAGTGAGTACGGAACGCACGCTGCACTGCCACGAAGGAATGGTTGTTCAAAAAATAGGCTTCAACAGCAAACACACACTGCTCACTCGTCCACCTCATGTTTCCTACTAAGGGGCATTAGACAGAAACTTCCGCGACTGCTGTGTTCGCTGAGCCTATCTCCACTTTTCTGCGACCTCCCCTCCCTTCACAATATGTCTTCACAAAAAAGAAGTTTCTGCGCCCCACCTTGTATAAAAATATCTGAAGGCAAGCCACTTCTTTCTTGCTAGGATGCAAACTAATTGTCTTCTTTGTCATGTTACTTCATAGGCTAATGAAATATTTCATTATATTAATTAAATAAATGCTTTTAAGAGACTTATGACCAGAAAGTAGTCATGTAATCTTTAGATTCATGAGTTTCAGGACCAGCTGCATTGTCTATGCAGACATGAAGTGGTAGATGCTATTGTACAAGGTACTTGGCAAAATTGTTTGTAATCAAATGCTGTTTGATTATTACAGAATGGCTCCATCTGGGATGGCTTGGCACTCTGGAAGAGCAACTTGGATAAGCTATTTGAAGGTGTTGACGAGTGCTACATTTGTTTCTCTGTTCTGCATGGCTCAAACTTCCAGATCCCTCGGCAGTGTTGCTCTACATGTAAAAAGAAGTTTCACTCCACTTGCTTAGTGAGTAGAAAGTATATACATAAGTACAAGCTCCCTCTGTCAAAAATACCTCATTCCCAGTTGAGGTCACCATTTCCTTCTGTGAACTCTTCTGTTGTCAAATAATTTTCATTCCAAACCAGTCTCTGTGCTGTTCAAGTTGTCTTCCTCCTTTTGTTTTTAATTTGCAGAAAGGCTGTGGTATGAGAGAAGAAGGTTGCAAGTAAAATGCATGTATAATAACCTTTATTTTTCTTTTCAGTACAAGTGGTTCAATACAAGCAACAAAGCAACCTGCCCCATCTGCCGCAACCTGTTCTAACTTGGTGAATATTTAGAATTGTGATTAATGTTATTTAAATTGAATATTATGTAATAACTCTGTTGGACTTTTAACTGAATTGTATGGAATAAAAACCGTCTATTATAGGTTAGTAGTTGGAAGACATTTGTACAAAGGAAGGAACAATGGAAGAAATTGTTGAGCTATCCAAGACCCATTTTGGGTTGTAGAGCAGTTACTGAAGAAGATTATGGATTAGTGTACCCATTACATTACTGTATAGGGCAACATAGTGTTACAAACATATGANGCTGTGCTGTTCAAGTTGTCATCCTTTTGTTTTTAATTTGCAGAAGGGCTGTGGTATGAGAGAAGATGGTTGCAAGTAAAATGCATGCATAATAACCTTTATTTTTCTTTTCAGTACAAGTGGTTCAATACAAGCAACAAAGCAACCTGCCCCATCTGCCGCAACCTGTTCTAACTTGGTGAATATTTAGAATTGTGATTAGTGTTATTTAAATTGAATATTATGTAATAACTCTGTTGGACTTTTAACTGAATTCTATGGAATAAAAACCGTCTATTATAGGTTAGTAGTTGGAAGACATTTGTACAAAGGAAGGAACAATGGAAAGAAATTGTTGAGCTATCCAAGACCCATTTTGGGTTGTAGAGCAGTTACTGAAGAAGATTATGGATTAGTGTACCCATTACATTACTGTATAGGGCAACATAGTGTTACATACATATGAAACTACTGACGAAAGCAGTCTTCTGGGATTTGGCACCGTGAGACATGGGCTTGACCGTGTCTCACGGTGTTGTCGCTTGCAGATTTACTTTCAACCCTGAAGATGGGGGCGATACGTTCCTCCGAAACGTCGGTTAACACCACATATACACGGTGCCAAATCCCAGAAGACTGCTTTCTTCATAGTCACCGCCATGAAAGCCTCAAATCTTACATATGAAACTACTATTTGTGCCTCAAAGAAAAAGGAGTTAGACTCAGATGTACTGCATGGCTAAAACAGGTATCTTCCAAGAAAGTTCTTACCCTAAATACAGGTTAATTCATAAGTCCCTCCAGGATTTATAAACTCGCGGTACAGTAGCCATGATGGTCACAATGGGGTGGGGGGAGCATATCAACAGAGGGTGAGACACTCCAAGTTTCTCTCCTACCTTACAGGTGCTCGATATATTCACCCTTGGTGACATGGCAGACATCAGTCCTGTAATGAAGTTTCTACCACACACGTTTCAACATCTCAAGGTCAACAACAGCGACTGCGTCCATGATATTTTGTCGCAGCTGTGGTAAATCAT